GTGCTGACGGTGATACCGTTGTTAAGCCGCAACACCGGTTACGTCACTTGCCCACCGTGGCACTGACCCCCACCGTCGTTTAGATTTTTTTTATAGTAATAAAAATAATTTAGTTCAGTAAAAGAACAGACAATACAATTAAAAACTGAACGCGGCTGCTCAATGCAAGCGTGCCGAAAGACAGTCGCATCACAGATCAGATTAAATTTTTCCAATGAGGAGAGTGAGTCGAGCTGACTGACAAGAAGAGTGGGGTGAGACAGACAAGACGATCGTGGATGATTTAGTTTCGAAACGAAATGCAAAAGCGCCTGTTTGGCAGTATTTTGGATTTTGAAAAGCCTGTTGACTTTTGCCGTTTATCTAAGGTGATTTTGAAAGTTTTTTTTAAACATTCGTTTATTATTTAATTGGTTCCACAGTGTTTGCTGATTTTTACATTATTTAAACTTTGTGTAATTTATTTATTTTATTTGACATTAAGGTGTATGCCATGTCTCCAAGCTTTCTTATTCGTTTTGCTAATAAACTTTCTACATTTCTTATTTATTTGGTTATATATTATACATGTTTACTTCCAGTTTTGTATACCTATTAAACTTTATGTAAGTTATTTTATATTAGGCATAGCCTGCCCTATAGCATGGTGTATTTTTATTTGTTTTGTTAATAAAAGTTATATGTTTTATATATAGGCTAAAGTGAGTTTGACGTTGTATTTTGTTGTTGCGTTCAAGCAATTGACGCCGAATTGACGCTATTTGAAAGTGAAAGTAAAATGCGCACGCCACTTTTGCAAGCTATTTAAAAGCGAAGGATAGCGAGGAAAAGAGGAAATGTCCCCGTCCCCGCCCCCACGGTGATACCGGTATTATCTCTGTTGTCACACGTCGATTAACCGGTGGGAAAATTTCCTCACCATCACAACTCTTCTCTTCAGTTCACCACACTCGTTTTCTATAGGGTTCAGCTCAGGGAACTGGGTTGGCCAGGGCAAAAGCTTGGTTTTGTTCTCAGTGACCCATTTTTGTTTTGTTTTTGATGTTTGTTTGTGGATCATTGTCCTGTTGGAAGATCCAACCATGGCCCATTATAAGATTTTTAGCATGGACAGTCAGTTTAAAATTTTTTATCCATTGGTATTTTATAGAATCCATTATGCCGTCTATCTGAACAAGATATCCAGGATCTCCGGCAGAAAAATAGGCCCACAACATTAAAGAGCCAGCAGTGTATTTCATTGTACACATGGGGTACTTTTTTTATCCCTGTGTGCACCAAACCCATCTTGAGTGTTTGCTGCTAAAAAGCTAATTTTTTAGTTTCGTCTGACCATTGAACCCAGTCCCGTTAAAAGTTCCAGTCGTGTCTAGCAAATAAATATGCTAGAGTTTGTTTTTGGATGAGAGCGTTTTCTTTTCTAGTTTTTTCTTGAAACCCTCCCCCCAAAAAAAAAAATTTTTTTTATTTTTTTGAGTTTTTAATACACCAAGACTCGGCTATTTTCTGCAGTTCTCCAGCTGTGATCCTTGGAGACTTTGGCCGCTCAAACTCTCCTCCTCACCGTGCATTAGGATGATATAGACACACGTCTACTTACCGTATTAGAGAAAAATATTTTATAATGTGATTTTCCCCCAGTTTCACTTTAACTTTTTTTCATATACTTTAATTAAAGGTTAGATTTTTTTATTTTTATTTTTTTGAATGAAAGATCAAGTGGATAAACAATTCGGATTTATTTTCACAGCCTTCTTTGATCATATTTATCAAGGATATGAATAATTTTGAGCACAACTGTATATACAGTCAAACCAAAAATTAATCAGACACCAGATATAATTTTTTAATATTATTTTTTACTAGTGGGTGCAGGATGCTATAGTTCATTTATGTAAGTGAGGATAGCAAAATAAAGGAAACTGTGACATATTATACCCAAAAATTCTTCATACAGTGGACTACCAGTAAAATTGATAAAAATTTGGGACCAAAAATTATTCAGACACTTTGACCGGACCATGTTTTGCTTAAGTGTTATCTGACATTATCAAGGTAAATTTGTTCTGACACAGTTTAACTCCGAGTTCTTGTCATATTTTATTACCATTTTTTAAAACTATAGCGAATAAACTGTGATAATGTGTGAAATGTTGAAGCTGGATGACTAAATTTTGGTTTGACTATATATATATATATATATATATAAATAATTTATAATTACAATTTGTATTTATTTTAATATTTCATATTTCAGAAATTTGAAATAATTTGAAAATGAATATATATTTATATGAAATATATTTATACTTTACCATAGTTTGAAATCACAAATTTAAAGTTTGTCGATTACGCGATACATGCGATCATGCAGGATACAAATTCACACTTCACAAAATCACAGCTGGATTCAACTCTGCAAGGTTTGTGAAATGAAATGTTAATATCGACCTTGGCGATGTATCAGTCGACCACTAATTACAGGAGTAAATTACATTTTAAAATTCAGTATTCATTTAATTCATTTTAATATTCAAATAGAAAATAGTTATTTTAAATTGTAATATTTCATAATTTTATTTTTACTGCATTTTTGATCAAATAAATACAGCCTTGCTTAGACTTTTTTGACGTCAAAAATCTTAACGACCCAACACTTTTGAACGCTAGTGTATAGAGAATTTTAATATCAAAATAATTGTCTGCTTATCGGGATTGACCAGAATTTTTATATTTTAGTGTAGCAGTCAGAGGGAAGTTCTGTCAAACAGCTTGACTGCTTTTTTAAAGGTCAACAAACAGACTTTCAGTGCGTGTGTGTGTGTGTGTAGGTTTTCTGGGTGTGAGTTTGCTGACTGTATCCTCTGAGCCCTCAATTGGTTTTCAGTTTTAATCTAGACAAACTAAAGGCGTAGCTGCAGGGCCGGTTAAAAGAGCTGTAAGCCCCTGCTTTTATCCGTCTCTCACCGCTGCTCAAAGTGTTAAACTCCCAGTTGTGAAATAGAAAGCAAACGGCGAGGTTTGTGTGTTTGTTCCCCTGCGAGATAATCCCTTTATCCTCTAGCTTGGTGATTTAAGAGCCAGTCTCAACAATCAGCACCTCTGTTTGTTTACAGAGGAAGTGAAGTCAGGCTGTTTGTCCAGAGTAGAGAGAGAGACACTCCCGTCCGTTTATCTGAAACTGCTGCCCGTTCCTCCCTGTCTGTAGTCTTGATCTCCCACACTCACCTTGAATAATTTATCAGTAGATGAGGAAATTTGGTTGCCTCTTCGGCTCGGTGTAAGTTGTGATATGTAAAGTGTCTGGATTGGCTTGGCAAGTGGAAGTAGCTATTGATCACGTTTGATAAATGCTGCCGCAGTTGCGCTGGACCATTTTTGCAGTGTAGCACATTGCACTTCATTAGGAAATACAAAACAAATTAGTTATTTTTTGAGCAATGTGCTTGAAAATGCATAAACATCATGAAGCTTTTATTTGACTTGATAAATAAATTACTGTTTATATGTTTAGGGTTGGTAAGATTTTTGAAAGACGTCTGTTATGTTATGCTATATTAAAACTGCATTTATTCAATCAAAAAATATATTAAAGTCAGTAATATTGTGAAATATTATTGCAATTTAACATAATATATTTTTTTAAATGATTATTTTAATCTATTTTAAAATGTAATTTATTCCTGTGATGGCAAAGCTGAATTTTCAGCATCATTACTGCAGTCTTCAGTGTCACATGATGCTTCAGAAATCATTCTAATATGCTGATTTGCTGCTCTAGAAACATTTCTTCTTATCAATGTTGAAAACAGTTGTGCTGCTTCATATTTTTGAGGAAACGATTAAACTTTTTTTTGCAGGATTCTGATGAATAGAAAGTTCAAAAGAACATCATTTTAAATGGAAATGTTTTGTAACATTATAAATGTCTTTACTTTCACTTTTAATGAATTTAATGTATCCTTGCTGAATAAAAGTGTTCATTTCCTTCAAAAACCAAAATGTTCCTCATCCCAACCTTTTGAACAGTAGTGTAGTGTTTAATATTAACACACATAAATATGCTATTGGTTGCTTTCTGAATAAATCTGAAGCAAACATATGTTATTGGTTACTTTTATGTTTGCCAAGTAAACATAAAATGGATCATACATTTATGCTAAACTAAAAAAAACAAATGTGGTGAGGGGGCTTTCAGAAGTCCACCACATGCTGCTTGCGTCTGCAGATATGTTCAAGTATGTGTGTCTTTCTATTCCCATAGGGGTGTAGAGCCATACGACAATCCCACCACAGTGTTTGTCCAGCGCCACGAGCCCCAGGGAGACTCCAGCATCCTCAGCAGCACGGACTTCTTCCAGGACGAGCAAAACCGCCGAGTTATCTTGGAGAAGGTGGACAGCTTCCAGCTACGGGACAAGTACATGTTTGCCACTACCACCAGGGTAAGGGTGCACTGCGACCAGGCCGAAGCCGCAAACTTTTGAAGGATAATTTGTAGCTTCAGGCTTTTATATAGCAAAAGATGGGAAGAATAAGCAGCACTGAGCTAGAGTAAAAAAAAAACGGAAAATGTGCTGAGAGTCAGATTCGTGCCAAACTCCCTGAATGCCTCTCCTGTGAGTGTAAACACTCCTCTGAAGAGCTGGAGGAACGATCCAGCTCAAGATGAACAGGCAGTGATAACAGGCTTATTTAAAGCCTTGGAGTCAAGTGTGGAGGATTGCTGGTGTGTTTATCCAACAGTGAACTTTGTGGCAAGATAATTTAGACAGGTGACCCTCTATAAGGTTGTAGCACTTAATTATCTTGGCTTGTAACCAAAAGGTTGCAGGTTTGAATCCTGCAAAATCATAATAATTGTCCCATGAGGGACAACCTGTGATAATTGTACTGTAGGTTGCCTTGAATAAAAGCATCTGCTAAATATCAGACTGTGAACAGAGCAGAGGCAGAAAACTGTGAAAATACACGAGCAATGTTCAAAGTTATACAACATGTTGCCGTTACACTCTTGCTCTTTTCCAAAACCTAGCGAGCTGCCTTGAAGGCAATATTTAAGGCTTCCGGCATGAAGACTGTTCCAGAAGGTAGGCGGTTTAGTTATGTTGCCTCCTAAGAGGCCAAATTTTGGCCAGATTCTTAGGCAGCATCGTGTGTATCCTACACGGAGAGCGCAAACCCAGAATGCACTGCCACAAGCTTGATGAAAGATGAAATACAAGATGGTGAACTGGAGAAATGTTGATTTCTTGTATGGAATTGTTACAAAGATAGTTAAGGATAATTGAAAATGGATTAATTTGCGTGTGATGTGTATTTTATGCTTATCAGGGCATTAGCTTAGCAACATGTTTAACATCAGTCTATATTCATATTGCTATAAAATTTGTATTTTGCAATTCTGTCTTTAAATGTACAGTATATTTTAGGGGTGTGAATCGTCACATTGTTTCACAGTTCGTTTCAATTACAATTATCATTTCAACAATTCGATTCAATTTGATATCACAATGCGTTGCATTTTCAATATCACTGCACATGGCTAAATTTTCATATAAATTTTAAATCAACTTTATTTTGTGCATTTTTATTAAATTATATAAGCAGGCTACTTTCTAAAAATAATTACAAATTAATAATACATTTAACCGATTAAATATAGGTTCAAAACATTCAAGCAAATATAAAGTAAAAAAGGGGGAAAAAGACAATTACAAGTGATAAACAAAAAGTACTTTAAGTATCTGAGAGTGCTTTAAGTATCCAAAAGTATACAGACAATCATAGCAGTGGGTTTTTCTTTTTTCCTCAGCATTATTGCTGTTTGATTATTAATGATGACATCATAGACAGTGGCAGCTTACTGCATAGGCTTCATTCACACTAATGCACAGACCTGTTTTGACATATCAGATGTTTTGTCCTGTTCTGAAAACATAACTGACTGTGTTTACATCAGTTTTATATCATAAAAGTATTCGGAGATGCAAGTGCATTTTACCACAGCCGCGAGCTTCAAGATGAAATAAACAGAAAGTGCATGTGAAAGTGCAGTCAGCACGTGAGTTTCGTGCATCTAATACATAGTGCATTCCAAACGCCATAAATGAAAGCTCCCAGGGGCCCGTTCTTCCAGGACGAGCAAAACCGCCGAGTTATCTTGGAGAAGGTGGACAGCTTCCAGCTACGGGACAAGTACATGTTTGCCACTACCACCAGGGTAAGGGTGCACTGCGACCAGGCCGAAGCCGCAAACTTTTGAAGGATAATTTGTAGCTTCAGGCTTTTATATAGCAAAAGATGGGAAGAATAAGCAGCACTGAGCTAGAGTAAAAAAAAAACGGAAAATGTGCTGAGAGTCAGATTCGTGCCAAACTCCCTGAATGCCTCTCCTGTGAGTGTAAACACTCCTCTGAAGAGCTGGAGGAACGATCCAGCTCAAGATGAACAGGCAGTGATAACAGGCTTATTTAAAGCCTTGGAGTCAAGTGTGGAGGATTGCTGGTGTGTTTATCCAACAGTGAACTTTGTGGCAAGATAATTTAGACAGGTGACCCTCTATAAGGTTGTAGCACTTAATTATCTTGGCTTGTAACCAAAAGGTTGCAGGTTTGAATCCTGCAAAATCATAATAATTGTCCCATGAGGGACAACCTGTGATAATTGTACTGTAGGTTGCCTTGAATAAAAGCATCTGCTAAATATCAGACTGTGAACAGAGCAGAGGCAGAAAACTGTGAAAATACACGAGCAATGTTCAAAGTTATACAACATGTTGCCGTTACACTCTTGCTCTTTTCCAAAACCTAGCGAGCTGCCTTGAAGGCAATATTTAAGGCTTCCGGCATGAAGACTGTTCCAGAAGGTAGGCGGTTTAGTTATGTTGCCTCCTAAGAGGCCAAATTTTGGCCAGATTCTTAGGCAGCATCGTGTGTATCCTACACGGAGAGCGCAAACCCAGAATGCACTGCCACAAGCTTGATGAAAGATGAAATACAAGATGGTGAACTGGAGAAATGTTGATTTCTTGTATGGAATTGTTACAAAGATAGTTAAGGATAATTGAAAATGGATTAATTTGCGTGTGATGTGTATTTTATGCTTATCAGGGCATTAGCTTAGCAACATGTTTAACATCAGTCTATATTCATATTGCTATAAAATTTGTATTTTGCAATTCTGTCTTTAAATGTACAGTATATTTTAGGGGTGTGAATCGTCACATTGTTTCACAGTTCGTTTCAATTACAATTATCATTTCAACAATTCGATTCAATTTGATATCACAATGCGTTGCATTTTCAATATCACTGCACATGGCTAAATTTTCATATAAATTTTAAATCAACTTTATTTTGTGCATTTTTATTAAATTATATAAGCAGGCTACTTTCTAAAAATAATTACAAATTAATAATACATTTAACCGATTAAATATAGGTTCAAAACATTCAAGCAAATATAAAGTAAAAAAGGGGGAAAAAGACAATTACAAGTGATAAACAAAAAGTACTTTAAGTATCTGAGAGTGCTTTAAGTATCCAAAAGTATACAGACAATCATAGCAGTGGGTTTTTCTTTTTTCCTCAGCATTATTGCTGTTTGATTATTAATGATGACATCATAGACAGTGGCAGCTTACTGCATAGGCTTCATTCACACTAATGCACAGACCTGTTTTGACATATCAGATGTTTTGTCCTGTTCTGAAAACATAACTGACTGTGTTTACATCAGTTTTATATCATAAAAGTATTCGGAGATGCAAGTGCATTTTACCACAGCCGCGAGCTTCAAGATGAAATAAACAGAAAGTGCATGTGAAAGTGCAGTCAGCACGTGAGTTTCGTGCATCTAATACATAGTGCATTCCAAACGCCATAAATGAAAGCTCCCAGGGGCCCGTTCTTCGTACGTCGCTAACTCAGTTAGCTGGATTTGATTGTTGATGATTTGGCATGATCTTGGCTCATTTGGTTCTTCGTAGCTCATCCTGGACTTGCTGTCATAGCAACAGGTCCTTAAGCTTAAACCTGCTCGGGAGCAGGCTTATTTCATGTAAACAGGATTAGATTGCATCTTTTTAAGTGGAACTGATATTTAAAATCTATCCCAGCCACTGCTACTCTATTACAAGAGTACCCTACTAATCCGGGGGCAATCATTTAAAATAATAATAATTTAATTTGAAAATAATATTATAATGTTGTGTAATCTATATAGACACAGCCAGTTTTACTCATTGAAAGATTTATTTGTGTGTAAGCAACCAGCCTATAATGGTAAAAATCCACCCACTCCTTTTTTTTAAATAATCCCCATAAATCAGAAGCAGTGTCTGAAAATACGCTGTTTCAGATTCACCCCTACTGTGACGTCACAGTAGGGACAAGTAGAGCTGTAGTCAAGTCCAGCTTTGTCGAGTCCAAGACAAGTCCAAGACCAGGACTAGTCGAGATGAGTCAAGAGTCCAAAGAGGTTTGAGTCAAAGTCAAGTCCAAGTCCAAAAGTTTCGAGTCCAAGTCAAGACCGAGTCCAAATGAGAGAAAAAAAAGGATCCTCTTCAAGACCACATACTTAACTATTGATAATGTATGTGATGCGAGAGACAGCATATCTCCTATTCTAAGAAAATCATTTTACATTATTATTTGTAATGATCAAAAAGTATGCAAAGTATGTGCAAAGTAACAACTCTGTAGGACTGGAGTCTCCTAACTAGATCCTGGAGGGCCAATGCCCTGCAGAGTTTAGCTCCAACAGGCCTTAACACACCTATCCTATTATAGCAGACATATCCACTGATTTGCATTGATTTTGCCTTTCTAATAGTCCTGCACGATATGAGGAAATTCTGCTAAGTGTGATAACAGTGGAGTTTTTTTATTAAAAATTTTTTTTGCAATGATGATTACTTATGATAAATAAATGAATAATTAACTGCATATTAGGGCCAACAAATAAAACTAAAT